TTCACTATGGGTCAAGAAATGCATAGTGACTGATAGTGCATTTACCGAGGCCTTCACGAAGAAAGTTTTGATCTTGGGTGAGGTGCGGAGAGACCATAAGTTCACTTGCCAGTTGAAACTCCGAAAGTCCTCCTGTTCATTATCAAGTTTCAAAAGAGCATAGCCCGACTTTGTAGTGTAGGATCCATTTTTTGTCAAGAGCCATGCCAGCTTATCAGGCCGTTTGGTATGAAGATATTTTGATGCAAAAACTAAGACTCTTAAAACAATAAAAACTTTGGCTCTTTCATAATGTTTACAAAGGCTTTCAGCCCGATGTGATTATGTGAATTTCAAGCCTTTGTGGTCTAAGTTTTTGTAAACAGTAATATAGAAAGTCAGTTGTGTTCATCATTTTTTTTTTCTTCTTTTCGATATTTATCATTCTTACTGAAAATGACATTTCATCATTAATTCATTTTTCAAGTGTAACAGAGTTACATTGGTCTCTCATCTGCATATTTATTTATTACCACACAAATGGAGCCATGTGCACTAAATAGTAACAAGTTAATAACAAATAACATACCGGAGGAATCCTAAGTTTCGTCAAGAGTAGTCCCCTTCCCGAAGCTTGTGAAATCGGAGTGTTCTTGATCAGGATAAATGATTACGATAAGGAGATTTAGAAAATCCCCAACTCATTATCGTAAAATCGTAGGTGGTGGTGATGTCACATTGGCTACTCGTCTTAACAATATTATTTCTGTCAACTAAAGGTAAAATGTGGATTTCTCATAATCATGGCAGTGACAATATAATCCTCACCTTTATGGCTAAATCATCGTAAAACATTCGGTATCCCATTAGTTTAATACTAACTGGATTGCATATAAATCCTTTTTTTTTTCAACATTTTTTTTTTGAGTCAACAGAATGCATATAAATCCAAAAATCATTAAAACACTAACACAAATCTTTCCCTTTTCTTGTACAACGAGATCTCTGGCCCTGAGTAGATTAAGCTGTAATCTCTTAGTTACCAAACAAATGGGATCCTTAATTAATGTCCATTTTTGGACCGCGTTATCATATAATATATAACATATACTATTTGGTCTAGATGAGTAAGACAAAAAAGATCAGGCTGTCGAAAATATATTAGAAAAAGAGTGTTCTAAAAAGCGTTCTAGGCGTTCGCCTAGACGGCGCTAGACCCCTGTAGACCATGACGATTACCGCTTTTGCCGC